AAAAAAAAAAAAAGAATCATAACTTGATTAAACAGAGAATCTACTTTAGTCTGAATTAATTAAAAAAATATGAGTTTAAATTGAAAATAATTATGATTATATGAAGTCTTAAATGTGCAGACTGCCTGGTCCACTTCTGCTGTCTTCCATGTGCTCTCTGTCAAGACACTAAATAACATTTCATAAATCTCATCTTTGGAGAATTTTCTTCATCATGAATGTTTTCCCTGTCCTACTTGCTTCTGTGCCTGGTGCCACAAAAAATGCAGTGAGCTAGTTCAATTTAGTTCCAAAATTTAAAGATATTTTTTTTTTTTTGGTTTCTCGCCCGGTATTTGAGACTTTGCCCCGACTAATCCGGACTCAACCCGGGTCGCATACCTGGAAATGGTGGGTGAGTCTCCCAACAAAAGCTGCTGCGTACGCAAGGATTCGAATTCGAGACCTTACTTAAACTGGAACAAGTCGCTTACCACTTGATCCAACCTTTCGTTGGTAAATTTAAAGATATTATTTAGTGTTCAAAAGATAAAAGAACTCAGAAGTTTTGAAATCATGGTACCTATGCTCATGTCAAATCCACGAGTCCTGAGCTCTCTGTACTCTTGACAGAGAGCACATGGAAGGCAGCAGAAGTGGACCAGACAGTCTGCACATGGTTGCTGCGGTGGGTCGTATTGGGCCCTTATCTTGGAGCGATAAAAGCACGAGTAAAAACAGGCAAAACCAGTCAATGCCAACACCCCAAACAGCAAACCCCTCGAAGCACAAGCTACAAAAGAAAAAAAAAATCCAATTTAATTAGTAAATTCATTAATTAATCAAGAACTATATATATGGTTTGATCATCCAACAGCTTTAAATTTGAAATTTTAGGTTAAAATTATCAAGTTTAATATAAATTGAAGGATTGTGAAAAAAAAAAAAAGAATCATAACTTGATTAAATAGAGAATCTACTTCAGTCTGAATTAATAAAAAAAAAATATGAGTTTAAATTGAAAATAATTATGATTATATGAAGCCTTACATGTGCAGACTGTCTGGTCCACTTCTGCTACCTTCCATGTGCTCTCTGTCAAGAGTACAGAGAGCTCAGGAATCGTGGATTTGACGTGAGCATAGGTACCATGATTTCAAAACTTCTGAGTTCTATTATCTTTTGAACACTAAATGATGGGTGGTGTTATTGCCACAGCCACTAATGTTAATGCCACAGCCTTTTTTAATTATTTGACTATTATACCCCTCATTTGAATCCAACTTACAGCAGTCATCACCTTCTCCGCGTGGGTTAATGGTCAATTAATTAAAAAAACTGTGGTGTTAACCTTTGAAGCTGTGGCAATAACACCACCCCTAAATGATATCATAGCGTGATTTTGCAATCTAGAATATCGTTTGCACTAATTAAAGACCCCTAATTGATTGTTATGAATTTACTGTCTGAATCAAAATATAGTTTTTTAAAATAATATATGAGAAAATTGAGCGTTGTCAATTTTTAGGCAAATTTTTTTAATAAAACAGCATCATTTTGGCATCTTTTCTTCATCCTTATTTTGGCAAATCTTAATGACATTTCTTATCCTCATTCTTTAGGTTATTGAATAGGTTAACTGTCTTGCCTTTGGACAGATCTGGAATCACTACCAAATATTCTACAAAAGAAGTATGCATTGATCCGTGATCTGGACAAAAGTTTGCAAGGTATCCTTTAAAGAGACGATTATTTGGCTTTTATTGTTTTTTGTTCTGTTTTTGCTAAATCTTTAGTTTGCAATTGTCATCCCTTTTTTCCTGGACAGTGCTTTACTTGACACTATCAGATTCTTTTAGCATTTGCCATCTAAGATGTGGGTGGAATTTGTCTAGCTTTTGCAGAGGCACATTATATTTTAAGGTCAAAAGTTATGGGAATTACGATGTTCTGTCTGTATAGTATTATTTTATGGCTACTTATGTTTCAGTATTTCATAATTGGACTGGTAACCAATAAGTCACAGTTAATTATATTTATTTCATTGTGGATTTTCCCTGGAAATTTAATTGATCCTTTTTCTTCCATAGTAAGGATGAATGATAGTGTCTGTGATAGCATGTATCTGTTATTTTGGTTTTCCTTTCCCCTATGGTAAAACTTTGAGCACAAAGCATTTTAAGATTTCATTGCTGAATGACATTTCATCAATCTCATCTTTGGAGAATTTTTCTTCATCATGAATGTTCTCCTTGTCCTACTTGCTTCTGTTCCTGTGGCCACCAAAAATGTAGTGAGCTAGTTCAATTTAGTTGCAAAATTTAAAGATCTTAATTTTGGACCCAGGTCTATATTATGTGGAATTGTGGATTGGGATCAATCTCCTTTGCACGGTTATCATTCAATACTCTGACTGTTTGTGATGTAATCATGATTCAGGTAGATACACACATACAACAGCTTGATCAATATTTGAAAAGATTTGATGAGGAGCTCCGGCGTGGTGTGTTATTAATTTTCATTTTTCATCTTCAAATACACCTTTTATCAATTTTGAAATATCTCCACCTTGTTTAGATTTTGACCTTGGAATATATGTGTATGGTTTTTGACAGAAAGAGAGAATGCTGCTGCTGCTGCTGTTTTGCCTACTACAAGTCTTGATGGCAGTGCGAAATCTGGAAGTAGTGAAGGTGGAAGGGGAGGGCGTAAAAAGTATGCACTCATCCTAGATATCCTTATTGATGCAGGAGCATAGGGCTCTTTTTAACGATTAGTTTTAGGGCTGTTTGTTTTGCATTAAGTTTGAGTTTTATTTGGAGTCTAAGTTTAATTTTAGGAAAGTCATTTTTAATTAGGATTAGAATTAGTAGCTTATTAGGAGTTCATAGTTTGTTAGAAGTTCAAATTAGAATTGAATTAGGATTCTTAGCTCTTGTTGTATATATAGTTATTCTTCTTAGGTTTCAAGAACAGTTTTTGTTATGAAATTTTAGTTTGAGAATAAACTTGAGGTTGAAAACCTAAATTTTCTTGGTTTCATCTTTAATTTTACGGAGTTCTTAGTTTCTGTTTGTTCTACTCCTACCTTCCCATTGGTTTCCTTATAGATTGCTTAAACTTGTTTTTGTTAGCTGTTATTGTGCTATTGATTCTTGCTTTCGCCTTCCTGAGGAAGTCATTTTCTCTACTGCTTGTGCAAGTTGTCTGAGATCAACCCAGAATTGAACTGACCTGAAGTGGATAAAGTGATTTTGTCTAGTTCTAGATGGAACTATACTTTATCACAGTTCTCAAATTTTGTGATCCAGTTGGTCTGGGTCAAAATTGGTTCTGCGCTATGAGTGATCTAAACCACACCATGTGACCCAAACAATATTCTCTTGTTTTTCTTCCCACAGCAGAAAGCTTGGCTTGAAAAATAAAGTCCTTATTCATGCACACTGGACATTCTTCTCTGGTATACCTGTGACAAATTTCGAACCATGACATTTGCTTGAACCCTCCTATGGTGCAGAACACGGCTGGCAACAGCAACGGCAGCAGCGGCGGCAGCTACAGAAGTAGCAGCAGCTGCCGCTGATCCAACTGGCATGGAGCTAGATTTACCAGTGGATCCAAATGAGCCCACATACTGTTTCTGCAACCAAGTCAGCTTTGGTGAGACGGTGGCATGCGATAACCCTGATTTATGTAACCGACTTCATTGTTTATCTCTCTTGGAAAATATCTTTTGCCTTGTTTTCTAAAATTTATCTGATGCACGTCTTTGCTTCTTTCAACAGTGCAAGATAGAATGGTTTCATTTTGGATGTGTTGGTCTTAAAGAACAACCAAAAGGAAA